TATTCAATGAATTCCAGAAGAATCTTGAGGGGAGTTTGCATGATCTGGTCTGGTGGAATTTCATCCCCTCCCAGGAGTCTTCGTCTACCTGTTGCATATGACGTGCAGTGCCACATAACATGCAGAGTAGTTTCGTCCTCTAATTCGCAACCCCTGCAAGTCGGTTGATCGCTCAGTCCCAACCTGAAGAGGTGTTTTTTACAGGGGGCGTGTCCTGTTAAAAAGGCCACTATCCTCCTTATTTTTGACTGCTGAAACATAGCAGTTCACTTTTACGTACTGGTTGTGGAGCTCCCACCAACTGCTTTGCGGTATGGAGTCGCGGTGTCTCCTCCCAGTACTTTCTGTGTTGTTCCAAGATCCACTGCCCAACTGCCACTCTAACTTGGGCATGAGATATACCACAAGCAGGTTCTTGGTTGGTCAGTGGTTTCTCGGTCTCTGCCCTAGCAGGGCTCTTATATTTGGTCAATCAACTTTGGTTTTGAAGCCCTAATGAGTAAAAGCATTCACATATTAAAAAACAGGTTGCAGCTTTATTTTTTTTTCGAGACCAGTCATAAGTTTGATACTCCTGTGTAACTGGAGACAACGAGACCCGAAACCATCAATTTCATTCTTTCACTTAAGTTTGAATTTTAATTACTGAAATGGCCGAGTCACCGAATGCTGAATATTCAAGTAGTCCTTAAATGTTTATGGGGATTGAAGGTGAAATTAGAACAAAATGGTCTGAGAAAAACCGTTCGGAATTCGATCTTTACTGAAATTGCAGGAACACTATCCAACGTGTCCAAATAATAGGCCTTCATTTCCTCTGAAAAAATTAATCACCAACCATTACTATTGAAAATTGACAAGTAAATATTTATCATCATCAGAACTTGATTCTCTAGCATGCCAGATCATTATCATCAAACTGCAAGCTACTTTCAAGACTTTTTGCGTGGGTTGATTTCAATCTTCAGAAAAATCTGCAAGTTAAAGGTACACACGCGATTAGACAATGACTCCAACTCATTTTGGAACAAAACGCACAAAACAAAAAACCACGCAAGTACACAAGAATGAGTCAATTTAGTAAAGTCCATCAAATTACACGTACGTTCAACTCAAAGTCCTAAACTAAAAACAGATAAACAGGTAAACTAATAACAGACAGAGCACAGGTAAGAGAGCGATGGAAAAACTATTGCGATAAATTAAAAGACGACACTGAAAACTCAGAAAGTGGCACACAAACTATAACATACAACCAAAAAGAACCTGCCATATTGAGAAAAGAAGTTGAGAGAAGAAGACCAACAAGTCGTCTGGAGAGGACGGTGTGGTTGCTGAAATGCTGACTGACAAATAATATCGGAAAGCATAAAGTTCTGCTAAAATACCTACGACCACTAATCCCACCAGAACAAGAAGGATTTGTCCCAGGGCGCGGACCTAGAAAATATATACTAAACCTCCGACAAATAATCGAAAAATGGAGGGAATTGAATGCGCCTGCCTACTTATGCTTGCATACGATGCCAAAATTTATGAACGATTTTAACTGAAGTGGATGCACCTCACCATTTAATATCGCTAATATAAAATTTATAAAATACGTTAGAGTAGAGGGAGATCTGACCAGTTCATTCAGAGTGAGTAAAGGAGTCAGGCAGGGTTGTATACTAAGCCCACTACTCTTTAACATCTATGGCGTGTGGATCATGAGGAAAGCACTCGATGACTGGCTGGGAGGAATCCCCATTGACGGCTTTAAAATCAGCAACTTGTGCTTCGCCAA